CCTTTTTTGAAAACAAAACCATGTGATGTTCACAAAGAACAAATAAAAGATGACCCAGGAACATATAAAAATTCTCAACTGAGGCCGGGTATGGTGATTCACGCCTGTAATCTCAGCACTTAGGGCAGCCAAGGCAAGTGGATCATGAGCTCAGGAGTTCGAAACCAGCCTGACCAACATGGTGAAACCCCGTCTCTACTAAAAATGAAAAAATTAGCCCGGCATAGTGGTGCCCACCTGTGATCCCAGATACTCAGGAAGCTGAGGCAGGAGAATCGCTTGAATCCCGGAGGCAGAGGTTGCAGTGAGTAGAGATCGTGCCACTGTACTCCAGCCTGGGCAACAAAAAATAAAAAATAAAAAATCTCCACTTCATTTGTCATTAAGGAAAATGTAAATTAAAATCACAAAGAAATATAATTATATAACTGCCAAATTGGCAAAGGTTAACACTTCGACAATATTATTTCCAAGTATATGAAGCGATGAAGATGCTCATAAACTGCTTCTGGGAGTGGAAAACTGCTATTGCCTGGGAAAGTTGAACCTATGCCCACTGGACAGTATAGCCATTCCATGGCTAGTGATTGTAGGAGTCAGTGGAGTAAATAGAGGAGCTGTTTATGGCTAGTGGCAATCAATTATTCAGGTAATAAATAAATAATCAGCTATTGAGCTCCTACTCCCCAGGCCTCGCCCATCTGCCCCCAAACCTGAATGATACATATATATATAAACCATCCTTGATGCAACAGAATGTAGGCTCATATTGATGTTGGGGGTGGTTGCCCTAGAGAAGCTCTCACACCTATGCTTCAGGAGACATATAAAAAAATGCTTGTAGCAGTTTTTTTCACAATAGGAAATAACTTTTTTAAAAACCAAATATCTCTCAGCCATAGAAAGGATAAATAAATAATAGTATATTTATTCAATGGGATGTTGTACATTGATAGAAATGAATGAACCACGGGATTGTACATCCACATTAATAAAGATGAATGGATCACAAAAATGCATTGTTGAGCAAAAAGAGTGAAGAAATTATGATTCCATTTACATAAAGTTATAAACAAGCAAAAGTAAAATACTAATTAGGAATGTGTACATGTGCTAAAATTGTATGGAAATGTAAGAGAATCATTAACATAAATTTAAGGAGATGTGTTTCCTCAGGATATGAAAAGAAGGAAAAAGACACAATGTGCTAATTCTTAAGCTTTGTGGGTCTTTTTTTTTTTTTGAGTATTATTCCTTCACACATATGTATGTATACATATATGTACTCTTTTAAATGACTGACATATAAAACGCTAAAAAATTTTTAATAAATTGGCAGAAATATTCCTTGAGGTTAAATTGAGCATATCACCCTGTGATAAAGAGAAGATTTGAGAACCCATAGGTTTGGCAGATATACTACAACTTCCTGGAAGGTTATGTGGATCCAAATTTCTCCTGTGGTTTGTGTATGCTTTGGAAACTCTAAGACTGAAAAATGCCAAGCAATAACAAGCTGCTGCTAGGTGTTGATTACGTTATTCTGAAGTTTTAAACTGTGTGGGTCTGTAATACTTGTTACTAATTTTTTTATTAGCTGAAATTAAAACTTTATATCTAAAAGGCCAGATTAAAGAAATGAATTTCCATTTTACAATTTGGGGGTATTTTAATATACTTGTGTTCATAATGATGTTATAGTTGATGCTTAAAAATATACAAGTTGATTATTTGGTTTTGAATATGATTCCCACCTTTGAATTTTAAGGGAGGCTCCTGGGTAGTTAATTTGTTACTATACAATTCAGTTATAAATTGGACAGTATTTTTAAAAATTGAATTCAATCCTTTTTATTTGTATATTTATTCAGGATTAATTTGAATGTAAATATATTCTAAAAGATGAGTTTTTCAATTATGAGATTTATATTCTATGTGGCAGGTCTAGAGCTGCATCACAGAACTAATAAATTGTTATATCTAAAAATTAAAGCCTGCTATGTGCTTTATGTATATTATCTTCGATCTTCACTAAGACTCAAAGCAGATGTTTTATTCCCATTTTTCCTGAGGAAATTGAAAAATTTACTATCTTGACCTTGATTCTACAAGTAAGAGATGGATAGGATTCAAATTCAATATACTAATTCAGAAAGTGAAATTGGGGATATAGGCAGGAAGTTTTTAATCTATGAAAATAGAATACAGTGAAAAAAAGACAATAATGGAATTCACATTAGATTTTTAATTACTTAGTGGTCAGCAATTTTGTTTTCTACATTGCTTATTCATTTAGAAAAGATCCAGGGATTTTCTAGGGAGTCACTGGGACTTAATCATAATGGGATTTACAGCTGCCAATCAAATGTATTGCAGTCAAAAGCTACCCTAGCCTCCTGCCTACAACTTGACTTTACTCCTTGTTTGGAGGGCTTTGATGGAGAATTATCTAAAACAGTGATTCTCAAATTTTAATGTGCATATAAATCACCACAGATCTGCTTCCTAGAAACTCAGGATATACTTGGATAAGTATATCAGTTTGTTGAAACTGTCCAGATTAAACCATTTAGGTGAAAGCTCTATTATCCAAATACCTGGAAATTTTTTTCAGGACAATTTTGACAACAACTGCTGTCCTATATCATTATTTGAGAATGTATTTCTAATATCTTTGATTGGATATTATCTCATTTCACAAAGAAATGCATTTCTACCCCACACCATGACTAAATTCATAGAATTTCTGCACTTCAGGTATTTGTCAGGAAAACAATACCTTGTACACATTGGCAGTACTTATAAAAAGCTCACTTAATAATTGATGGAGAATCTTTTTTTTTTTTTATTGTGCTTTAGGTTCTGAGGTACATGTGCAGATCATGCAGGATTGTTACATAGGTATATACATGACAAGGTGGTTTGCTGTCTTCCTCCCCCATCACCTATATCTGGTATTTTTCCCCAAGTTTTCCCTCCCCAACCTCCCCACCCCCTGTCCCTCCCCTAGTCCCCCACAACTGACCACAGTGTGTGATGCTCCCCTCCCTGTGTCCACGTGTTCTAATTGTTCAACACCCACCTATGAGTGGTACCATGTGGTGTTTGATTTTCTGTTCTTGTGTCAGTTTGCTGAGAATGATGGTTTCCAGATTCATCTATGTCCCTATGAAGGACAAGAACTCATAGTTTTTTTTATGGCTGCATAGTATTCCATGGTGTATATGTGCCACATTTTCTTTATCCAGCCTATTGCTGATGGACATTTGGGTTGGTTCCAAGTCTTTGCTATTGTAAACAGTGCCCCAATGAACATACATGTACATGTGTCTTTATAATAGAACAATTTATGATTCTTTGGGTATATATGCAGTAATGGGATTGCTGGGTCAAATGGTATTTCTATTTCTAGGTCCTTGAGGAATCGCCACACTGTCTTCCACAATGGTTGAACTAATTTACACTCCCACCAACAGTGTAAAAGTGTTCCTATTTCTCCACATCCTCTCCAGCATCTGTTGTCTCCAGATTTTTTAATGATCACCGTTCTAACTGGTGTGAGGTGGTATCTCAATGTAGTTTTGATTTGCATTTCTCTAATGACCAGTGATGATGAGCATTTTTTCATATGTTTATTGGCCTCATAGATGTCTTCTTTTGAAAAGTGTCTGTTTATATCCTTTGCCCACTTTTGAATAGACTTGTTTGTTTGTTTTATAAATCTGTTTTAGTTCTTTGTAGATTCTGGATATTAGCCCTTTGTCAGATGGGTAGATTGCAAAAATTTTTCCCATTCTGTTGGTTGCTGGTTCACTCTAATGACTGTTTCCTTTGCAGCACAGAAGCTCTGGAGTTTACTTAGATCCTATTTGTCTATTTTGGCCTTTGTTGCCATTGCTTTGGGTGTTTTAGCCATGAAGTTCTTGCCTATGCCTCTGTCCTTAATGGTTTTGCCTAGGTTTTCTTCTAGGGTTTTTATGGTGTTAGGACTTATGTTTAAGTCTTTAATCTGTCTGGAGTTAATTTTAGTGTAACGTGTCAGGAAGGGGTCCAGTTTTGCTTTCTGCACATGGCTAGCCAGTTTTCCCACCATCATTTATCAAACAGGGAATCCTTTCCCTATTGCTTGTTTTTCTCAGGTTTGTCAAAGATCAGATGGTTGTAGATGTGTGGTGTTGCTTCTGAGGCCTCTGATCTATTCCATTGGTCTATGTCTCTGTTTTGGTACCAGTACCATGCTGTTTTGATTCCTGTGGCCTTGTAGTATAGTCTGAAGTCAGGCAGCATGTTGCCTCCAGCTTTGTTCTTTTTGCTCAGGATTGTTTTGGCTATGCAGGCTCTCTTTTGGTTCCATATGAAGTTTAAGGTGGTTTTTTCCAGTTCTGTGAAGAAGGTCATTGGAAGCTTGATGGAATAGCATTGAATCTATAAATTACTTTGGGTAATATGGCCATTTTCACTATGTTGGTTCTTCCTAACCATGGGCATGCAATATTTTACCATCTGTTTGTGTCCTCTCATTTCATTCAGCAGTGGTTTGTAGTTCTCCTTGAAGAGGCCTTTTACATCCTTTGTTAGTTGTATTCTTAGGTATTTTATTCTCTTTGTAGCAATTGTGAATGGGAGTTCACTTTTGATTTGGCTCACTGTTTGTCTGTTATTGGTGTATAGAAATGCTTGTGATTTCTGCACATTGATTTTGCATCCTGAGACTTTGCTGAGTTTGCTTATCAGTTTCAGGAGATTTTGGGCTGAGACGATGGGGTCTTCTAAATATACAATCATGTCATCTGCAAATAGAGACAATTTGACTTCCTCTTTTCCTAATTGAATACTCTTTATTTCTTTTTCTTTCCTGATTGCTCTGGCTAGAACTTCCAATATTATATTGAATAGAAGTGGTGAGAGAGGGCATCCTTGTCTTGTGCCAGGTTTCACAGGGAATGCTTCCAGTTTTTGCCTGTTCAGTGTGATATTGGCTGTGGGTTTGTCGTAAATAGCTTTTGTTATTTTGCGATATGTTCCATCGATATCTAGTTTATTGAGGGTTTTCAGCATAAAGGGCTATTGAATTTTGTAAGGCCTTCTCTGCCTCTATTGAGATAATCATGTTTCATTCTGTTTGTGTGGTGGATTATGTTTATATATTTTCATATATTGAACCAGACTTGCATCCCTGGGATGAAACCTACTTGATCATGGTGAATAAGCTTTTTGATTCACTGTTGCATTCTGTTTGCCAGTATTTTATTGAAGATTTTTGCATCAATGATCATCATGGATATTGGCCTGAAGTTTTCTTTTTTAGTTTTGTCTCTGCCCAATTTTGGTATTAGGATGATGTTGGACTCATGAAATGAATTGGGGAGGATTCCCTCTTTTTGTATTGTTTGGAATAGTTTCAGAAAGAATGGTCTATTCAGGGTTTCAACTACTTCTTGGTTTATTCTTGGGAGAGTGAATTTATCCATTTCTTCCATGTTTTCTGGTTTATGTGCATAGAGTTGTTTGTAGTAATATCTGTTGGTAGTTTGTATTTCTGTGGAATCGGGGGTGATGTCCCTTTATCGTTTTTTATTGCATCTATTTGATTCTTCTCTCTTTTCTTTTTTATTAGTCTGGCTAGCAGTCTATGTATTTTGTTGATCTTTTCAAAAAACCAGCTCCTGGAGTTGTTGATTTTTTGAAGGGTTTTTTTTGTCTCTATATTCTTCAGTTCTGCTCTGATCTTAGTTATTTCTTGTCTTTTGCTAGTTTTTGAGTATTTTTGATCTTGCTCCTCTAAATCTTTCAACTTCAATGATAGGGTGTTGATTTTAGATCTTTCCTTGCTCCTCAAGTGGGCATTTATTGCTATGAATTTCTCTCTAGACACTGCCTTAAATGTGTCTCAGAGATTCTGGTATGTTGTGTCTTCGTTCTTGTTGGTTTTGAAGAAAATCTTTATTTCTGCCTTCATTTCATTGTTTATCCCGTCTACATTCAGGAGCCAGTTGTTCATTTTCCATGAAGTTGTGTGGCTTTGAGTTTGTTTCTTAATCCTGAGTTCTAATTTGATTGCACTGTGGCCCGAGAGACTGCTTGTTATGATTTCTGTTCTTTTGCATTGGCTGAGGAGTGATTCACTTCCAATTATATGGTTGATTTTAGAGTAAGTGCAATGTGGTGCTGAGAAGAATGTGTATTTGGTAGATTTGAGGTTGAGAGTTCTGTAAATATCTATTAAGTTCGCTTGGTCCAGATGTGCATTCAAGCCTTCGATTTCCTTGTTGATTTTCTGTCTCATTGATCTGTCCAGTATTGACAGTGGAGTGTTAAAGTCTCCCACTCTTATTGTTCAGGTGTTTAAGTCTCTTTGTAGGTCGTTAAGGACTTGTTTTATATATCTGGGTGCTCCTGTATTGGTTGCATATATATTTAGGATAGTTAGTTTTTCTTGTTGTATTGATCCTTTTACCATTATGCAGTGCCCTTCTTTGTCTCTTTTGATCTTTGTTGGTTTAAAGTCCATTTTATCAGAGACTAGGATTGCCACCCATGCTTTTTTTGCTCTCCATTTGCTTGGTAAATCTTCTTTCATCCCGTTACTTTGAGTTTATGTGTTTCTTTGCATGTGAGATGGGTCTCCTGAATACAGCACACTGATGGTTCTTGGCTTTTTATCTAATTTACCAGTCTGTGTCTTTTGATTGGGGCATTTAGTTCATTTACATTTAATGTTAATATTGTTATGTGTGATTTTGATTCTGCCATTTTATTACTGATTGGTTGTTTTGCCCTTTGGTTGGCATAATTTCTTCATTGTGTCATTGGTCTTTACTATTTGGTTCTTTTTTGCAGTGGCTGATACTGGTTTTTCCTATCTGTGTTTAGTGCTTTGTTCAGGAGCTCTTGTAGGGCAGGTCTGGTAGTGACAAAATCTCTCAGCAATTGCTTGTCTATAAAGGATTTTATTTCTCCATCATTTATGAAGCTTAGTTTGGCTGGATATGAACTTCTGGGTTGAAAATTCTTTTCTTTAAGGATGTTGAATATTGGCCCCCACTCTCTTCTGGCTTGTAGGGTTTCTGCCGAGAGATCCGCTGTGAGTCAGATGCACTTCCCTTTGTGAGTGACCCAACCTTTCTCTCTGGCTGCCCTTAGTATTTTTTCCTTCATTTCAACGCTGGTGAATCTGACAATTATGTGCCTTGGGGTTGCTCTTCTAGAGGAGTATCGTTGTGGTGTTCTCTGTATTTCCTGTTTTTCAATGTGGGCCTGCCTTGCAAGGTTGGGGAAGTCCTCCTGGATAATATCCTGAAGAGTGTTTTCCAGCTTGGATTCATTCTTCCCTTTATCTTCTGGTACATCAATCAAGTGTAGATTAGGTCTTTTCACATAATCCCTTTTCTTGAAGGCTTCGTTCATTTCTTTTCACTCTTTGTTTTCTTTTCTTGCCTTCTCATTTTGTTTCATTGAGTTGATCTTCAATCTATGATATCCTTTCTTCTGCTTGATCTGTTTGGCTGTTGAAACTTATATATGCTTCATTAAGTTCTTATGCTGTGTTTTTCTTCTCCATCAAGTCATTTATGTTCTTCTCTAAGCTGATTATTCTAGTTAGTATTTCATCTAACCTTTTTTCAAGGTTTTTAGCTTATTTGCGTTGGGTTAGAACATGTTCCTTTAACTCATAGAAGTTTGTTATTATCCACCTTCTGAAGCCTGCTTCTGTCAACTTGTTAAATTCGTTCTCAGCCCCTCTTTGTTCCCTGGCTGGTGAGGAGGAGTTGTGATCTTGTGGTGGAAAAGAGGCGTTCTGGTTTTTGATGGTTTCATTCTTCTTGCACTGTTTTTTTCCCATCTCACTGGATTTATGTAGTTTTGATCTCAGGTGGCTGCTTGGGGAGGGGACCTGTCCTTTGTCTGCCTTCAGCGGCGCTGCTGGGCTGCCACGAGTTCAGTGGAGCTGCTGCAGATTTTATTTACTCAGGAACGTGAGGCAGGCTTCTGCAATCGTGGCTGCCCTTCCCCCCACCAAGCTGGATTGGTCCTGGTCACTCTCTAGGTGTGAAACTCTGGCATGAGAGTTTTTTTTGCCTGCTGGGCTTTGTTGAGGGTGGAGGACCCGTCCTGCCATATGGGCTGCTTCCCTGTTTTCAGTTTCCTTTCCCTCTGTGGGGAGGGCAGATTCATCCAGTCAGCTTTCTGGCTTTCCTGTCAGCCAGTGCTTCTGCCTAGATCTATGCTGATAGCCCTGGCGTGGCCAAAGTTGCTGTTCTGCCCTGTTCAGGCAGCTCGCTGAGGCTTTTCAGCCCGGCAAAGATCTCCTGTTCTATGGGTTGTAGAGGGCTTGGGTGGAGTGCTGTATCCTAACTGAAGTTCCAGAGGGGGAGATCCCCCAGTCCTCCAGTCGGTTACATGCACCTCTTGGGTGGGTGCCCTGCCTTGCCTCAACTTGTCCTATTTAGTTTATACCCACTGTCCTACCAGACCCACAAAATGAACCTGGTACCTCATTTGGAATTCTGGAGACCACTTGGTTTCTGTGTCTCTCTCACTGGGAGCTGCTTTCCAGAGCTGCCTCTTATTCGGCCATCTTGGGATCCCTCTACCGATGAAGAATCTTTTAAAACAGTGTTTTTCAAACTTTAATGTGCTTATAAATCACTACAGATCTTCTGATTCAATAGATTGGGCTGGGGCCTAAGATTCTACATTTCTAACTAATTCCTAAGTGATAACAATGCCACTGACCCATAGGCAACACATACAGTAGAAAGGACCAAAAATATATTTCTCCACTCCTCAAGATACCCTCAAATCTATCTCTGATTGAAACTAAGTCAGCATGTAGATAAACTTAATGATAAATGAAACAAAATAGTTGTTCCACTGTTTTGAGTGAAATGAGGCTGTACATGTTTAGTACAGATATGATTAAAAAAATAACTTTGATCTGCAGTTGTTCGACTCCATAGATGCAGAACCTATGGATGAGGATGGCCAACTGTTCTAGGATAATGTTGTTTCCACACCACTTACACCGCAACAACCAACACCTCCAAGCCCACCTACCCCTGAAAAAGTGCTTTCACCAAATTGTACTTTAGGCTTATAAGTAAAAGGAGGGTAAATATTTAGTATGCTGCTAAATTTTATGAAAGTATATCTGTTAGTACATGACAGTCAACTTTTCATATCTGCTGGTTCTGCATCTGCAGATTTAACCAACAGTGGATCAGAAACATGTTTTTTTTTTTATAACAAAACAATAAGAAGGTAGAATACATCAATAAAAATATACAAGGAAAAAACCAATACAGTGTAACAACTATTTACACCATTTACATCATATTATCTATTATAAGTTAAGCTAGAGATGATGTAAAGTATAGGGGAGGGAGTTTGTAGCTTATATAAAAAAATACTATTCCACCTTACATAAGGAATTTGAACATTAGTGGAATTTGGTATCTGCTGAATATCAATTCAGAACCTTGAATACTAATTTGGGTACTGGAATCAATCCCCCATGCATATGGTGAGATAACTGTATTCATTACATTTATTTCATATTACCCTCTTCATTATCATCTACATGGTACATATTTCTGGCTTGTTTGCATTTGTTTTATGGAAACGCTCTGAATCAAGTGACCAAAAATTATATCCTCTTTTAATGTCCACAGCCAAATTTTTGGCCTGCTTATTACAAACATCTAATATACCAATTCTGACTCTGTATTGTTACCTAAATCTTAATTTCATGTTTTCTATTTTCTTTTCCATAACCCCTGAAGTCTTTATTTATGTAATATTTCATGTTATATAGATTTTTATAAGGTATCATAAATTCTTCATAAAAGAATGTAATAAATTTTAAAATAATAAAGTTAATAACAGCTATAATATATGAAGTCCTTACTCTAACCCATTAATACTATGCTAAGCCCTTTTCATATATGATTATCTACTTTTATTTGGTTATTAGTTTAATGCTCTCTTGTTTTAGAATAGAATAAG